GAATCAGCCTGCCACCTTGTGTATCAGCTTTCTGATCAGAGTATTACTCACAAAGGAGTCATTGAGTGACCAGAGACTGGGCACATTGTCTCCCAAAGGTTAGATTCCCCAATCAGAGGCTACACTCTTGTGGCAAATCCCCTCTCTGCATTCTCATGGGGTTAAGTGGAATTTGCATGGCAAGGAAGGGCGCTCCGTTTCCCAGCCACCGAACAGCCCTTAGAATTCCTGTTAAAAGGGGGGGGGGGGGGTGTCCGGCCCATCTTATCACACTTTGTTGTATGGCGGCCCCATCGGTTTCCTTTTTTACCCTTTAAAGATTGGAAACTAGGACAAAGCTATAGATATACTATAGATATACTAATGAGTTAACACTATCTGCCTACCACCTATACTCAGCATGAAGACCACCATGGGAGAACCAATTTAAGTCTCAAATGTCATTTCCCCTCATGTATACACGTGTGTTTGTGTGTGCATGTACACAGCATATACACACAAAGTTAAACACCAGGTGATTGTTTGTTCAACATGCTTGGCTACATTCTGTGGTTCATGGGTCACAAAGGGCTAAGTTGTGGCACCTGTGAAATCGGACAGCGATACATATCTCAGCTTCTCCTGGAAATTACATATAGACGTAAAATACTAATAATCCAGAGGTCACATTCTCACAAACTCACACACACAAAGTCTGTGTTTTTATGAACTACTATTCTGTGTGTATCATCCATTTTCCGTAACTGTTTGTGCTGTGGTACACTGGGAGTGAGTCTCAGGAAGCACAGGACACGAGGCAAAGAACACCTGGACACATAGTTACATCTAGTGATGGGCTATATACCCTGCTGAGGTCAAACCATGACATTTTGATGATGACATCATGCGACCGTGGTAGCTTTCCAGCATAGACTAGATAGGACCATGCGGTTAGGGTACTGAACGGGCAACGCCCTGATCGTTACTAGAATAGCAATACGGAGCCCAGGTGTGCTGTGTGTGGCACCTGTAAGGCAGCTCTTCCTCAGGACGGTCCAGATGGTAGCGGATGAAGAACCTCTCAGCATCCTCCCTCTCCTCGTCTGTCACCTTGCTTCCATTCAGCACCGACACAGAGGGCAGCCTGCAAGGGGGTGCCGTGCTGCTGTTATGGACGCCCCAAACAAGGATGTGCACAGGCAATGATAGGATTTCTTTTATAAAGGGCCCATAATTCATATGGAGGTGCCAACCTTCTCATTAGCCAATGATACGTTTGGAATGGGTGAGTGACAGGGGATGGGGCATCCTGGGAACCAATCACATTTCAGCTAAAGCCAATCGCCCCTGTGGATCTGGCCTTGTATACACTCCCAGCCACGCAGCATTGGTGCCTGAGGGCCAGGGTGTGTGCAAGCAGTACTGTACATACGCTGTTGATGTGGCGGTTTTATTTACACAAATAAAATGTGAAGACAGACAGACAGACAGATAGATAGATATAATCACCAGTTTTGTTTGTGTTATTATTCTTTAATAAGAAATATGGGGACAACAAGTCTCGAGGGGGTGGGAGGGAGGCCTAGACAGGCAGCGGCAAGGCAAATGATACTGTTGCATACCAAATTAGTTAAGTACAGGCAAACATTTGTCAGCTTTGTAATTGCTTCACAGACAAAGCCATATGAGGCAATCATCATATATGATGCGGATGCCAAGCTAAATGATCTGAAATTGAATGCAGTGGGTGGCCCTGTGTTTGTTTGTGTGTGTGGGGGGGGGGGGGCACTTACTGTGCTACAGTGAGGCTGCGCCTCTCTGAGTTGGTGTAAGTCTGTAGTAAAGGAATTCCTAGCAGTCTCACTTCCTCCAACATGGGGAAGCAGTTCAACTTCTCTATATCCTCCCACCTGTTTAGACCTAAAAGCACACGCAAAGGAACACATCATTGTCAATTTTCATTCATGTGGAGTGTCAACAATGACTAATATTAACAAACGGTAAGGGCTCCAATTTTGCAGTAACTGATCCTGGTACATTTACAGACAAACAGGTACATTATCAATGTCTTTCATATCTCTAAACTGTCTATAGCAGTGTTCCCCAATCCGGTCAGCAGGGGCCCACAGCCGGCTCACGTTTTTGCTCCCTCCGAGCTCCCTGTTAACCAGTCCATGTTTTTGCTCCCTCCGAGCTCCCTGTTAACCAGTCCACGTTTTTGCTCCCTCCGAGCTCCCTGTTAACCAGTCCATGTTTTTGCTCCCTCCCAGCTCCTGAGCAAAAACATTGGACTATATGTGGGTCCCCAAGTAGTAGCTTGGGAAACACTGGTCTATAGATATTTTTTTCCCCTGGTACTCGACCATAAACCTCAAGCGTTTTACGTGAACGTCCGCAGGGTGACGTGGCCTAGAGTATCCATAGCTGGGCGAGTCATGTTCACAGCACTTTTGCCACAAGCTGAGCTTTTGTGGATAGTGAGTAATCACCTGCCCTTCTGAGTGGCTGATGGGAGTTAGATTAACAAAATGATACATAACAAGATTCTCAGCTACAGCTAGATGCATATCCTGTTTCGGTAAAGACTTCCTTTAAAATGCAGAGAGGGCAGGGGTGAGATTTTCCACCACTCTTGACCGCCTAACAGCTCCCCCCCCCCCACCTCACCCCTTTCTAAGCCTCCCCAAGGCACCCCAACCCCCAAAAACCCATGTGAAAAGAACGCAATCTGGTCAGCAAAGCTGCTGCTATCGCTTCGTTCATCTCTCCTCCTTTCGCGTTCAGTGGACCGGCGAGACAGGTCAAAGGAAAGCCGGCTCTGCACCTCCGGCTGGAAGGGCGCTCGGCCCGCTGCCCAGCCAAGAGAGACCCTCAGGAGGCCTTACTGTCCCACCGAAGGCCTTTCACTGAGGTGCTAGTGTACTACTGATTTCTATCGCCACTAAAAAGCAGCAACTCGCAAATCTGTGTCCGTGGCTAATAAACCTCTAGCCTTTCTTATGTTGCAATGATTTAACAATACGTTTGTTTTGTACGTATATGTTTGGTATGTATGCATAGATATATGTATAGATATGTAGATAGATATATAGACAGAATAATAATAATAAATAATAATAATACATTATTGAGAACTTGCCACGAGGCCAATGAAAAATTCTGCATATAACATACAACAATGCTGTACCAAATTGGTTCTTCATGGGCCTTTAAGGGGAACCCTAAGCTCAGCATTGGCTCATTGGCTGAAGCCTGGGCAGAGGGTGGGGCTACCTGAGTTGTGAAGATTGATGCTGCGTAGTTTAGGGAAGAGTCGATGCAGGGCATCCCCAGAGTCCTGGATGGAGGCGAGGCTGTTGTTGGCCATGACCAGTGTGTCCAGACAGGGGAACATGGCCCCAAATTTGCGCACCTCACCCCAGTCCTGCAGGTTGTTGTCAGTGATGTGCAGCAGGCGTAGCGAAGGGCAGGGCACGGCTGAGTGTGTTACAGCCTCGTACTCATTAAGGCACAGGAAGAGCTCCTCCAGCCTGCAGGGGGCGACATACCACATAAAGATGAGACTTGATAGCTTTTCGCAGCTATCTCCAAAGTCCCATATGGTTTTATCTACAGCTGAAATGTTCTGACCGGGTGCCCTCCCAGTGCTATCTACAGAACAGGGCTAAGAAGCAGGGCCACAAGTTGGCATGTTACAGTTCATATCATTTAATAACCAGCCAATACACCAAGCATTTTCCTTCCCTTATACCTAAACCCACAGCTTAGACCAGTGGTTCTTAAACTTTTTCTCTCATGCCCCCCTTTGGAAACAGAAGAAACCCCATGCCCACCTCGTATCACATTTTTAATTTATTGACATTACGTCACAAACATTGTAAAAATGGGCATTGTGAAAATGAAAATGCAAACTGTCTTTAATCAGAAGACATTCTGAAAATGAATTCACAAAATATGTGCATTCCCAGCTAGACAGACTTCGTCATCTTTCAAACTGAACAAAATGATAAACGTACGATGATGTGTTTTTGTTTTCTTTCCTGTCAGAAACCTGTCCATTCTATGCTTTAAATGCTCCCGCTGTCTGATTGACCACACATGCACTTTTCTTTGTTAATTCCTCTAATACAGAAAGGAATGAACATCAAATGTTAAGTTCTGCATTTTCTCCTGCTTATGTGTGACCCCCATAATGCCAGAATGACCCCCACGGGGGTGCAGTTTGAGAACCACTGGCTTAGTTACTAAGCCCTACTTACAACCATCAACAATGATAGTCTTTTGCAAAGTCAATTCATACCATGCTTAGTATTTATCAACCAATTAAGTATGTGCACATAGAGCTCCCACCCCCAGTATAACCCAGTGGCGGCCACCCGGCTGTCTTACTCGGGGATCTCCCTCGTGAAAGTGTGCACGGTCTCCCAGGAGACATGGGTGTTGTTGAGGACCAGTCGCCGAACCCTAACAAAGGCCTCTGCACAGCTGGCATCCAGCGGTGATTCGCTGAGGGGGTTGGAGCTCAGGTTGAGAAAGTCCAGGTTCGGGATGTTGGATACAATCTTGCTGATCTACAGGAGCAAGAAAAAAAATACCATGACGAGTGATGCCCAAATGAGTGGAGCATTCTACCAAAGACTGAGAAGGAAGGAAGAACCCAGACCTGCACTGAAGACCTCATTTATCAATCTGGTTTAACTGTCATTTTTGGTTTTCCTTTGCCATCGTTTGACATATGATTTACACATCTACTATCCTTTTGGGAATAAACCTATCGGTGCTGATCCTGCCCATACTTCCAGTGAACTACAAATGCTGTTATTCACCAGCTGTGCCAGAGAGCAATTAAAGTGAACACAGTGATGTGACTTTGCGTAGGGCCCAGTGTGACAGGTGACATGTTTTTCTCTAGCTGATCACTGATCATACACATTATCACAATCTGCAGAGACAGGCTATAACATGTGCTGGTGGGAGTTTTACTTATGTTCTGAGGACAGAAGGAAAACTGACTGGTTATCTCTCTGAACCAATCATATTATAGAGGAGGTGGGTCTAAGCAACTAGAAGAGGCAGGACCAAGACATCTGATTGGTTGATCTCGCCTCCTGTAATTTCTTGGCCCATCTCATCTAAAATGTGATTGGTTCTCTCTCGGAACCAATCATTTTTCATTCTGCCCTGAGAACAGTTTTGTGTAAGTAAAACTCCCACGAGCACAACGCAACCATATTCCTGTGTTTTCACAGTGGGTGACACTGACTGATTTTCCTTTTTTTTTACAGATCTGTTTCAGATCAACTTTTAAGTGTTAAGCACTTAACACTCAAGAACAAAGCTGCTCCTGGTGTTTGATGATTTGCTAAGGATTTCACTGCCAACCTGATCCCACGGGTGCTTGCCAAGGTCGAATTTGGCTTCTCACCTCATGCCAGTCCTGCAGCTTGTTGTTGGACAGGTCCAGCTCTACCACATGGGCGCAGAAGGCCGAGATCTCAGCCTCATCTCCGGCACGGCTAATGCCGCACCCATTGAGCACTAGGATGCTGGGAAGGTTCAGCCGATCTATAAAGGAGTGGAAATAAAATGGAAAGACTCTCATCCACAATGATCCTCTCCTGTTCACTAAAACTCGTGCTTTTACACATTTGTACGTGTGAATCAATTAAACACCTGGAAAAATGCCCTAATTTTTTATGTCCCAATGAAATTATGTACCATTTTTTAGCCATCATTGTGAAGTGTTAACAGAAATATGACAAAACTCAATAGTCATTTTCACAGCATTTCACGTCGCTTGTGTTAACGTAACAACTGGCAGACAGTTCTACAAATTCCATGGCTACAAATGTAAGGCTTGACACAGTCATCCAAGATGCTTGAATACGGAATGCTACAGGAAGTTGACATAAGCGTCACATATACTATATGGTGTTACTGTGCTATATGAACGGTGGAAACGTTTTTGTTCCAACAGCATAAACCCTGTGGAACAACAAAGGACAACAATCCACAATTTGTTATCATGTAACATTTCTTGCCGTTCAAACTCAAATTCAAAGTGTTTGGGCAACAGTGGATTTATACTAGGGCTGGGCGATATCACATCGATAGTATATCGCTCATGCGTAATAATCACCACCCTGGTCAGGTGACAGACGAAGCATTTGGCCGGATGCCAGCTTTTCGGTGAAATACGGACATTAATTTACGCCCGTATGTTGGTAAGAGGATTAGTAGTATGGCTTAAATATTAATGAGATGCGTTTTGTGATACCCAAAAGTTAGTAATCTGTATAAACTTTATGTTTCTTAAATTTGATTATCGGAGCAACATAATACTGTTTTGGCATACTACGGTTTGGTATACTACGGTTTGTATACCTCAGTGCAATATGCACTGAAGCTGCGGTGAAGAAGAGCAGCCACAACATCTTTTAAAAGAGGAGACCTTCTGGATAAACAACGTAAAAAGACGTTGGCGGTGTGGTGGTACTTTTTGCAGTTCAAAGTCTGACACATTTATGAAACATAAGGATATGCCGTATTTATACTAATAATGACTTTTGGGCGTCATACAAAGCCTCATTAATATTTTAGCCATACTACGAAACTGCTTAAATTGTGGGCGTAAATAAATGTCCGTATAGCACCGAAAAGCTGCCGCATGGCCAAATGTTGCGCCTGTTATCTGAAGCCCTGGTGATTATTGCGCATGCGCGATATAATATCGCCCGCACCTAATTAATACACAGATGATACTGTCCATATAAGGCTTATTTTCACTGTAGCCTCTGAAACGCTGCACCATGAGTGGTTCAAGTACTGCAAAGAAGATAAAACTCAAAAAATAGACCTGCCTGGTCCAGAGTCCACAGCTCCAATCTTGCTCTAAAAATGAACCAGCTCTACCAAGGCCCAGATCGTATAACGCTCCAGCCAGCGGTGTTGGCAGGTCTCACCTTTCATAGGTGAACCTTGAGGACCCATTGGCACCACTACCCCGACGCCAGGCCCTCTGCGGTACGGGAAATTCTCCGGGCTGTACTTCTCGCTGATCACCTCCATGAAGGTCCGGCCCTCATCTTCGGGGGGATCCATGGCGCCCTCCCACATGGCCTCTCCGTCGTCTAGGTTGGGATTGGGAAGAGACCAAAAATCACAGATGTTATCCAGTAAGGCTGACATCCCAATCCCTGCACAGGACCACCCCAAGATTCTTACAGCTGCTAGTATTCCATGGCTCCTACCAATGGAAAACAGAGCTTTTTTTTTCTCCAGGAAAACACCATTTTACACAGAACACTATATTCCTCAATAATACGATTAACTAACATCGGACATAAAACCACTACAGACCTCATACTTCACAGGCCAATTCAATTAAAATACTGACAAGCTTAAATAAAAAACAAAAAATGCGCGTCTTAAGTTTCCCAAAAGGAGCGACACGGGGAGATGAATCAGCCCCTGTTCAATGTGGAAATCAGAGGAAGGGTAGATGAATCAAATCACAGGCAGTATTAAAAAGTGCAACTACATCCAATACCAAGGAGTGGAGTTATGTTGCGGGCAGTAAATAGTCTACACTGCAAACATACCAGGGGTGAGCATAGCAGAATTTCACCTGCTTTATTCTTTCTAAATGTAAAACAACCCAGGCCGACCTTTCTCACCTGCGGGTGGAGCAGCGTCCTGCTTCGCTGGGCTCACCGTCAAAGCCTGCCTAGCCTCCCTGCGGAAGAGAGAACTTTTGTTCGTGACGTGGCTCCAGTCCCCTGGAGCCGGAACTGCAAAATCCTCTGGCTGATACAATTATAACACCTGACTGCCACCACCTGAGATGGACTAATTAAGATGTTAAACACCATTCATCCACTTATTACTCGGTGTATTCTGCATTTCTGTATCGCTCATCCCTTTGAGCTTTTTGCAACCATTTTTTTCTGTTTTTATGTCACTCCATCTATATGCTTTATATTCCTGAAGATTATGAGTGCCTTCAGGTTTTGAAAAGCGCTGTTCAAATCCAATGAATAATAATAATGATATAATTAACAAAAATACTGTATATATTGTAAATAACAATATTGTTGTTGTCATTATTATTATTATTATTATTATAAAAACACTTTAAAACTGGATTTTGACTTGAACCATATTCTGTTCCTGATTTTTAACTAAAATCTCTCCTGATGTCTAACTGCAGCATTTATTTTTAACCAGTCTGCCTTCAATAAATCTTTACCAGCCTCTATGTGGAGTAATATCACCTTTGAGCCCACAGATATATGCATTTAACATCCAGTTCTGCTGACCGTACAGTATCATAACGATGTGTGTAATCTCCTACCTCTAAACATGCGCAGGGATAGACCGGTGTCACCTTACCCTGTGAGAGGGCAGCCGCAGAGGGAGGCAGTGAGCCCTGACCGCTCCGTGGTTCCCTCCGAAAGTGACCTTTTCCAGCGGCAAGGCACCGTGAGGCTGCCCGGCAGCCCAGCTGAGCAACACGGACTGAAATCCCGCGTGGATCCTGCGTGGTTCTCCGTGTACTGTGGCCACGCCTGAGCTGTGCACCTGTCACATTACACACACCACTGGATGTACTGGGTGTGTCACACAGAGACAAAATAGAAATACTAAAATGTTTATACTCATAACTCAAAAATCCCATTTTAAATATTCAAACACCCTTGTAAAAAAAGAATCTTGTGACAGATCACAGCAGCATGCTGTCAGCCATCTCTTACGAAGACTCGTGTCATTGACATGAACTGGTGAGGTACCTGCGGCTGACTCTTTAGCTTCTGAAGGGGCTTTCTGTGTCACTTGGGGCCTGCGGAAAAAGAAAGCCGGCACATCCAAAGTCTTAATTCTCTAAATGTCGAAAGGAGCTTCAAATCTGTGCAGCCGTTTAATCTGAGTATGGACGATTGGAAGAATACAAAACAGACACCCTCACAGAATTGATACATCTGTTGATTGCAATTCTTTTATTCATTTTTCACTAAGCTCTACTTGTTTTCTTCAAAGAAAAATAAATCACTTAACAAAAGAACGTTAAAGATAATAAAAGTCCCATCAACAATCAGGCTTATCAGTCTCATCCTTCTATCAGGCCCTAGTTTCATCTCTCGCCAGTCTGCGAAGAGGAACTGGGCCTTCGTCACCCTGTCCGGATTGAGCTGAAGTCCTGTGTGGACAGCCCCCTTTCAGGTGCTCCTGTGAAGTCCTATCGAAAAAGGTGTCACTGACCAGGAGCCTCTGATGTTCAGCCCAGTCTGTTTGGTTTCACCTTCCGACCGAGTCCAAAGGACAGGCGTTAACTAACAAGCCATATCAAATGTGAGTATTTTACTGAAAGTGCACTCTGATTTGTGACAACTCCTGCTGCGAAAAACTGAACAAACAGATTCCCTGTTCTAGAAGATTCTGTGGGTGCTGATGAGCGCTGAATGAAGACACATTGTTTGCCGTTGGCTCCTTTAGAAATCTATATTTAAAGACACTGTCCTATTTCATAGAGGACACGAGCTTTCTCTGTTTTTCTCGCCCTTGAAAGTATTTTTTGCTGACAAGTTGTAACTAAACATTGACCTCTAGCAAAGAAATATACCATAAGCAAATGGGGAACACTTTTACTCTATAAGAGATTACAAAAGCCAGGAAGCCAATAATGTCTTGGAACAACAAAAGAAACTTTTTAGCTAAACCTTCCTGCTGGGTGCCAACCTTACAGACCTGCCACCACAAAACAGGAGCCATCAGACTAACCATTGCCATGACAATAGAGTGTTTTACTCTTTTGTCATGTATTGTTTGTCAGATTCTTGGTTGCTATGGGTGTTTCGATAGAGCTACAAGCAAAAAAATTAAAAGTTAAAACTGAATGGAATGACTAACCAAAGATAAATAAATAATATTTTAAAATACAACATTTAAAAGTATTAATCATTAGCAAGTGGGGTGTATAATTTTGACTGCACCATCATCACGTGATAATTAAACCACTTACTTACTTCTATCGTTAACCTTTACGACTGCAGAAAGTCTGCATTTACAGCGGTATTTCTGCCAGTTCCAGTATTGAAAATGCTGCTCTTCGAGATAGATCTGCCATGGTCCGCTGGTGTGAAGGACGTTTATTTTTAACTACCCCATTGTTTATCCCCGGAACATTTTTTAAAACACACACGCTTCACGTTTAAAATTCAAAACTTACAGTGTAAATGCTACTATTTAAATTTAAACGTTATTTGTTTTTATTTACAATAATAATCCGAACCAGTGATAAAAATATCTAGATCACTTTACGTAAAATTCCCGAAAGGCGATACAGCGCCCCCTACCCGCAAACATGTTAATTTGCACGCAGGAATGCGGTTCTTGGTAATACAGTGTTTTGAAACTTACGATGTATTCAGTGATACGGTCACCAGCCGTCAGCATGTCAGATACTTGTATTCGAATTAGAAAATATATATTTCGTTAAAGATCGCTGAAATGTATTTGATAACAGTGGTTTCTAAGTCTGTTTAAACAGTGTAAACCGGTTGTCATTAAAATTCCCCTAGCAACGACAATGTTTCGATCACCAAATGTCAACTTCATAAACGCTTCATATACAAACTTACCAAGGTTTCCAAAGAAGTTTCTTTGTGGATCTGCCCGATAAGAATAACACAACATCTACAAACCATATATACCCACCTTGCACTGTATTTACCTCTTGATTTGCAAAGCACAATTTAGATTTAGCCATAAAACGAGACAGTGTTACTGATCTTAATTAGCTGCAACTGCACATTTTTTGTTTACTTGAGAAGGTACACCGAAATGCTTTTACAAATTTCAGAAAATGGCCGCTAGGTTATAAGAGCATATTTGCTTGCATCTCACCTCCCGACAAGCAAAACTTGCTTTTTTTCAGCAACGGACATTACCATCCTTTCAAAAGGAAGAATAACAAAATCGATCGCTCCAGCGGTACAGATGTTTTGAGTAAATACGGTAATTCGGAACATATGCCGTTATATATTGTCCGCAGCTATCTATAAGTGCTGAATAAACAGTACTGTAGTCGTTACAGTAATAAAATTCAATATCAGTCTCGAAAAACATTCGCTTAATAACTGATTATGTGACTAAAATCAATGTCGAGGGAAAAAAAATGACAGCATTAATTGTATTATTTCCATACAACCAAAAAAACTCAGTATGATAATGTCAGCTAATGAAGGACAACTGTCTCTTGTTCACCTGCAAGGTGAGTGCCGTTACTGTCGTCGCACAGGTGGCTAACTAGCTAACAAATAAAGGAAGCTAGCTAGCACTGACTAGCCTAGATATACATTTGTAAAGCTATGCCCACTCAAGATTAGCTCAATGACCCCAAACGTACAGACACTGGCCAGAATAGCATGCAAAATTAGTCTAGCTAACCAAAGTATCACTTTCATCCGGAGGTAAATCTCAAAAGCGGGACATCTATCAGAAAACTGTGCGGCGAAAAAAGTATTTTAATTCACACTCACCCCACTATCTCCTCCTCACTATGATTTTGTTATTGTTGATCACCCCTGCCCCCCCTCCTCGTCCAGGAAGTGACGCGGCACGCACAAAACCGAAGTATTTTCTGCGGCTTCGTGCAGGAGACTCGACTCCTCGCGCACCACGAACGCCGCTATTGGCTGAGGCTCCAACGCCGATGTACATCAACCAATGAGATGCACTGGACGCCTGGAAAACTCGACCCCTACCGTTTGTGCCCGTGCAGTGTCGCGTGGTTTAACGTACAGCGCGTTGACGTACAGTTTGAAAGGTGCATTCGTACCAGATTTCCTCAATTTAAAAGATGCATGTAGTCGCTAGTTCATCTTCAGGGTTTATGGTAATTAGACCAACTAAAAATAGATCAGATGAAAGTGATAGCAGTCAACATATAGCGTTCTGTTTTTCTAAGTTTTTTTGCATTACAAAATTAATCACTGTTGCATTACGCACCCAAAGTACATTCAAGGCTTTGCGGATGATTTTTAAATTGCGCAATGTACATATTTAGTAATTATATTAGAGAAGTAATAAAATCTAATTAAGTTAATACACCGTGCATAGTACATTACTTACAAAATGAATGTATCACCCTGTTCTTATGGGCGTACTTCGCAATAGTACTAGTAATACATCATAGACATCATAGTGTGACTTTGGTAGTGTGGCATTGAACAAGCCATCCTCCTCAATAGTTAGCATGTTACGCTTTTTCGTGGCAAAGTAGCTCAAAGATTAAATTGTAATATATTTTTTTCTGCACGTTGAAGAAAAATTGTATACACCAGATGGCACTGTAACACAACAGATGATGAGGGCTGTACCCCAATTTGACAAGTATGATGTGTATGTGTATGTATAATTTGTTGAGATGAAAATGTTATTTTTAATAAAAGTACACACTGCACACACGACAAAAACAGATTTTAAAAGAAAATTCTGCATTCAAATTTCAATTTATTGCACTCTGACAGATGGACACACCAAGGGAGGATCTGTAGCTGGAAATGTGCCACACTTGGGGGTTCTGGGAGTCCGGAATATGCTAGATGTTTCATCGTCCCTCTTGCCGTTCTTTTTTTTTTGTATCCTATAGAATGGGAAAAAAACATTAAGCAGGATCATTAACATCTTTAAGTTGACAGAACCTGGACGACAAAGTTTGTTTTAAAATCATACTATATGGTCAACTTTTTGTATTATTTGTATTTTCAAAACCTAAATAAAAAATGACTAAAAGCATCCAGTGTTTGCACATTATTATTGCCACCCCCTTGTACTTTTTGTGCTTGGTGAAAAAAAGGATTCGGATTATTTATTTATATACCAAATTACCATACTTCCTCTGTTGGGGAGAAATTGCCCACGTGTCATTGATCTTTGGCACAAACTGAAGTGTATTTCGTCACAGCCCGGTCACCTGCAGGGAACAGACATGCTGTAAGGGAAGGGACGTTTGCAACCAATGGGGTCTATACACATGCAAATTACACAAACACTCCATAGATTTATGCCGAGTTAGGCCTGTGGTAGCATGAGCAGTCCACCAGATTGAATTTACATACAATGCTGAAAAATAGTTTTGATCAGTAAGTCTCATCCATTTATACGTCTTGTTTGGCTGACATTATTACTGAATGTCTTGTATTTTCATTTATAGTTATTCACTCAAGTTGAATTTTTCCCCAGCATATTTCCAGTTGAGCACCTTGCTTAGAGGTATGTCAGCTGAGACCTGAATCAGCAGTTGTCAGGGTCATAAACCGGTACTCCAGCCTGGCTTCTCTCTACATGCCACAATCGCCCTATTTAAGTTTGCTTCGCTTGCTGCATTTTCTTACTGGGCAGATAGTAGTCGTACACCTCGATGGTGGCTGGCTTCAGGTGCTCCACCTGAACCTCACCCCTGAGCTTGAAGCTGATTTCTGTAGCATTATTCTGCAACAGCTGTAAATAAACATCGGGTCAAGTACAACACAATCTCCTCATACAGTAAAAGATATGGTAGGGAAAAGCATTAATATTAAACTTGATCTACTCACCTTTGTAAAATAAAGCAACACATGGTTGTTTTCAATTTCAACACGGTCAACCTCCGAAGAGTCCTCCAGCTGCAGAACAAGGGCGGGAGGTGTGAGGAGATTTCTCCTGTTTGTCCTCAGTAATATCCCATGATGTCAGAGATATCCCATGATGTCAGAGTGTATATTATTTACACAAGATACATTAATGACTCATTCGAAGTAGTAATGGAGGAATACATTTAGGATCTAAGAGTTATAAGTCGGTTTCTATGGTAGTAGAAAGGTTCTTTGCTATTGTTCTATTTTTACTCTTGTATTGTCTGGAATACTTTGGAAAAACAAGAGCTATCCTGCGTAATAAGATCCCTGTAATTTGCAAGGGAGGATTCCTGGCTTCAGGGTGTAATGAATTGTTGAACTTCCTGTTTTCATTTTTTAAACTCACTTAAAAGCATTGTTTGGAATTGACACTTTAAGTTCCAAATGTTAGTCAGTTGAGAGTTTAACGGTAACCGAAACTCTTACACATTCTTACAATAATTGTTACTATGCGAAAAGTCACCTGACATGTGCCTTTGGGGTCAATTTGACCCCGGGGTAGTTATCTCTCCTGATGTCTGGTACCAGCTCACCTGCTTCAAGTTTTCTGCCTCCGGGACGAACCCAGAAAGCATTGCCACATCTGCAATCACCATGTCTGTACTGTCTCTTGGGCCGTTGTATCTGTTGAGATAAGGTTTTGTGCTCACGCATCATTCTGAAGTACCAATTATTGGATCTTTAAACCACACACTTCCTATGGGTTGCCAATCTAAAATCGACGCGTGGGGTGTGGCTTCCAGTGGACAGCATCTGCTTTACACGTGGTGCATCCCATGTGGAGCAGCCCCCAATGAAGCGTGCATCCTTACTGGAGAATCAGGTTGAATAAGAGGTGCCGTCCACTGCTAGTGCAGTTGCCTTTTGTGGAAGCCGTGATGCTGAAGATGGAACCATCAGCAGTAGGAGGGATGTTGTAGTAGAGTGCTGTCTGAGAAGGAATAGAGGAGGATCAGCAGTAGGAGGGATGTTGTAGTAGAGTGCTGTCTGAGAAGGAATAGAGGAGGATCAGCAGTAGGAGGGATGTTGTAGTAGAGTGCTGTCTGAGAAGGAATAGAGGAGGATCAGCAGTAGGAGGGATGTTGTAGTAGAGGGAATAGAGGAGGATCAGCAGTGGTTCAGGCTAGCCAATCACACAGTTTCCTAAATTAATACACTCTGATGACAAAGGTATCTGCTAAATTTTTCAACAAGACATTAATGTATGCACACTACCAGTCAAAAGTCTTTGCACACACTGAGATTTTCTACATTTGCATGTTACTCACTTAACATTTACTAAAATACACTCAATATTATTTGTTAAAGAAATGTGCAGTATGTTCGCCATTTGAGTACCTTTATTAGGAAGAAAATGTCATACCTTCGATTCATCAACAACCTCCTCTAGCAGTTATAACAGCAGAGAAAACAGTTAACTTGTGCATTTAAAGGACAGCATACAATTTGACTTTGTCAAAGTGGTAACAACCTATGGCGTGGAAAAACGTTTCACTGGCAGTGTACATAAGTACATTATTTTACACAAAAACAATGGAAAGGATGGACGTGTATCACACCAACCTGCACAGACACACAGGCACTGCCCTGAGCCTCTATCACACAGCGCCCTGGGATGCTGCGTAGTTCCCTCTCTTGGTAGATTAGCTTGTTGGTTTGATCCACTGTGAAGTGGTGCAGGTCACCGCCGGAGGACTGAACTGTGACTGTGCTGGCCCCTCCTGGGCTATAGACCAGGGTAGCATAGCGGGACAATGCCTGGAGGGCAACCACCGTGTCCTACAGACAAAGAAATCGTCCCACCTTTGCTGTGGACTGCAGATAGAAACAGAGTTGGCAGGGCTCAGCCGATAGCGAAATGGCCCTGTCGGTACCTGCGTGGAGAAGAAGCCTCCTTGTGGGTTCTGCTGCCTCACCAGCCAACCTGCGATGCGGCTGGTGTAGCCCCGGTCAGCGGCGGACAGCTGCGGCCGCCTCAGGACAGCCAGGAGTACATAAGAGGTCAACTCTACTGACAGCGAGGTGGACGCTTCTGAGCTTGGTGGGGACCAGTGAAGCAGGCCCTCTGTGGATGGTACCATGGTTCATTATCGTGCAACTAACATGGGTAAACCGTGGTCCGATGTCCTGTATATCCGGCATCTGTGGCATCCAGAATTTCAGATACGTGAGATCAGACTGACTCAAAGAAGGGAAGGACGGCGCTGAGCGAGTCAAACTCCAATAAAATCAAACTTACTTTCACTGTAGTTGCAGGCCAGGAAATGGAGTTTCTGTTACATTATTCATATGCTTCCAAGATAATGAAGAGTCATCCAACATAATGTAAGAACTTTATATGACTATTAAATAAAGTGGGGTATTACTGAAGGAACAGAGTACCAGAATCAAGTGTTCAAGCGCAATGTACCTTTTTGTTACATCCTCACTGGGAAAAACCCTTGTATTGAAAGGCACGAGACAGTGCAAAGCTTATCCACCATAATGAATGAATGAATAAATAAATGAATGAATTAATGAATGATTGAATACTCATTCTATTCTGACTATTCTGGTGGAAACAGGTTGAGTTTATGAACTGAATACCTTACTGGTCAGGCCAAGTGAAGCACTATTTACCATCACTGGAGGCAACAGAATCCAAGTACTTCAGTAGGCGAGCACTGGTGTCTGTCTCCTGGGCCAAGCTGAAGGTGTAGGCCAGTAGAGCAGTTGTGTAGATGTCACTCAGGTTATGACTGGCCTCTCTCAGACATGTCAAGCTCTTGGCTAGTGCTGGGCTCTAGAGAGGAAGTTTTATATATTTGCATCAAAGAAAAATTTATGATTTTGTCAGTCAGGTGGTTGTGGTGATAGTTGACAGTTGATTATTTCTTCTGGTTATACTATATTATCCATAGACAGTGAAGGTTAACATTGCACATTCATTGTTTGTTGAAAATCACGTCCTGTAAAACATTATTCGGTCTTCATGGGGTTACAGCCAAAGGGTTTGAGCACAGTTCTGTGCT